CCCTTAAACCATTTCTCAACCTAATCGTTTATTTATCCTCAAAGGGAATCATCAAACTATAACCTCAAACAATTCCTTCGTATTACTGAACATTCCAAACGTGACCACACATCTTCTTACAAGTATATCACTTCAACATTAGTACCATATTAAACATCCAAGGCATGCATGACACCAACTACTCACATTAGGAACTATGCACGAGTCATGACATAAGTGAGAGAGAATGGAATGAAGTGATATCAATCAGAACAGACAAAGGATGCACGATAGAGATTCAAGAAGTGTAGTTTTTTCCTAAAAGTCACTATATCCTCTCGAAGATAAGTACATACGTTTCCGTACAAATCCTTGAGACTTTACCTAGACTCGACTTATACACACGTGAGACCAATGAACCTAGGATCGGATACCATTTTGTCACGATCCAAAAATGGACATGATGACACTCGTCTTATCCCACCAAGACAAGTCAGCTTCAAACTCAGCCATTACAATAAAATGACTCAAAGAATGATGTTAAACTAAATACATTATTTATATTCTTGAGAATCGAGAAGTTTTTTAAGGAGGGGAAAAGAAGGAACCACAACTATTATGGAACAATGGTTAAGGTCTAAGATAGTATCTATAATTTTGGTTCCTTGTTGCTAATAGATAATTTCTTATTTTTCTTTGACGAAATTTAGTGGTTTCCATGTTAGTAATATCTAATCGAATATTTTCTTTAGGATATATTCCCTTTGTTTTGCATATCTATACAACCAAAGGCTGAATCTTCTTTCACTTTGTCAATAATGTTGACATATCTAGACAACCAAAGGCTGAATTTTCTTTCACTTTGTCAATAATGTTGACATAACCAAAGGTTCCTTGCAAGCATAGAACATTTCTAGAAGAGAATTACGCTACTTTGAGTAAAGTTCTTAAGAGTATCTATGTCGCAAATTTCGCTAGGAGGGAAATAGATCTCATCTTTTTCCTTAAACCAGGCTTGTGATTTCTAATCAAAGTGATTTTTGCTACATATTAAACATAGATCATGTATGGGGATAGCTTGCATGTGGAACATTAGAGACTTTTGTTCTTGATAAAGTAAAAAGTGTTTTATTAACAGTTATATGTTTGGACAACGTATCGATTCCTTGCTGATTGCATGGGCTGCAATGAAGAATGATGGGATTTCTCTGGTTGCACTATGTGTTGTAATGTACTAATGTTATTTGCTTGTGTGTAGAACAAGATTTACATATAATCCCTGATTGCATTTCACATTTTGTTAGTACCTTTTTGAAGTTGGTTGATATAAAATTAATGTCGATGAAAAATTTCTATTACAAGGATCGGAATAGTTATTTAAGATCTATTCAATGTTCATAATCTTAGAGAAACTAAATATCTATAAAATAATAATTGTTATCTAATCCTTGAAATGAAAAAACTTTTACTCTTGATGGATTTCATTAAATAAAACACAATTCATAAATATGACCCTTAACATGGCTTTAGTAGAGAACTATGTCCTGCAACTTTAATTGTGCACAAGTTAACACTTAAACATGTATAAAATTGAACAAGTAGATAGACTCATGTGTCCTACATGACATAATACACATTGTACGCCACATAGGACACAATTTTGATGTAGGGTTCTATGAAGGATGAATGTATCTTTTATTCAAACTCATACAAGTTCAAGTGTCTACTTGTGCAAACCAAATAGTCGATAAAATGTACTCCTATTTACCGTATTTGAGTTTTATTTTTATTTTGAAGGAAAGCCTACCATAGTTTCTTTTAATTTTTAAAAAAGAAAATACTTTCCTTAGAAAAAAAAGTTTGGAACTCTATAAATTAAAGACCTCTCTTCCCGTACCAGACCAAAATAATAGAATCTACTATGTAGTCATTAAAATTTTTTGTTAATGAGGAGATTATTCTCCGAATAGAGTTTATATTAGTTTTCATGTGTAGGTCAATTGATCAAACCATATAATAATATTATGTTTTTAGTATAAATTTTTGTCATCTAATTTATCACAAACACGATTTGCAATTGTAAGCTTCCGTATCACGCCTTTATTTCTTTAGAACTGAATAGTTTGGGGTACTTTTGAGGTTAAAAAATAGTTTTGCAAGAATCAGAGTAAAAAAATAATGGAATCGATGGGTCTTTTCTCAAATGACATTGACATAGTTGAGTCAAAATTTTAATGGATACTATAAATAAGTTTTTTCTAAAAGCTAGATATCATATTTGTGCACTTGCTACTGACTAAATTGAGATGTAGAGCGTGAAGACGAACTAGTCTAACACTATGAAGATATTAGACTGAAAACTTCGATGGAGACAATTTTTTTTTGAGCTCGATTAAGAAAACTACCTTATAATTAAAAATAAGATGCTCTTTAAAAGAGACATCATGCGTCCACACATACTTTTAACCACAATGACAATGCATGCAAGAACTAGGTTTAAAAGTCTAAATTAAAACTAAAATAGTTGAAATTACATACATTTTTTTAGTTGCAACATAAAATCACACAGTTTAAAATTATCCAAGCAAAGTATTTTAAAATGATCAAATTAAAGCAAAGCATGTTTATTTTAGAGGAGCTCTGCAAGGAATTCCCTTCCTCTTGCGCTTTCGCTTCGTCTCGGCAATCTTTTCCCATTTTGCTTCCACCTACAAATTCCATCATAATATATATTATTCACAAAAATATTTGTGGATTGGCAGTGTAAATGTATATAATATTTTATCTACCTCAATTTAAGTGTCTCATTACTTTTTTATGTGTCTCAAAAACAGGGGGTTTCCCCTATATTTTGTATAAAGAACTCAAATACAATATAAAAATAACCACTTCTCAACTATATTAATAAAACTAAAGTTCAATTACAATTTCAAAAGTTGATGTTACAACTAAAACCGTAATAAAAGAACCCAAACAAACATATAGAAATATCAAAAGTAAGACTAGGGGAGTGTTTGGTATGAAGGAAAATGTTTTCCATGGAAAATGTTTTCCTGGAAAACAAGTAGATTTTGGATTCATTTTCTCATGTTTGGTTGGTGAGTAGAAAATATTTTCTAAAAAATAATTTTTAGTGTTTGATTTATGAATGAAAATATTTTTTGAGAAAAATCTTTTATTTTACTAGAGTATAAAATAATTTATGAAATTGAAAATAATTTTTAGAAACAATTTTTTTGGGGGGGTGTGGGTGGGGTGGTGCGCTGCCGGGGGCGGGCAGGGTTAGGTGAAAAAATAAAATTTTAAAGTTGAAAATATTTTTAAAAATAATTTTTTGGA